ACGATGTTTTATTTAATCTCAGTACACATGTAACTATCTGACTAGTACGTCTGTTGATCACACACACACTCACACTCTTTCTACCCACTCAGTGACTATGAACAGTTCCATCTTAACTTTCACTCACAAAACCCTGAAAGATGTCACACTATAATTGGCTGGCAGTGTTGTCAAGGATCTAAGTTGTTTGATTACATCTTTAAAATATGGCAATTTTAAGAATGAAAAACTTTTTTCTTAATAAACAATGCTCTCTTAACCCTCTCATGTTATTCTTTGTGTGTCACACACCTGCCCACTAAGCCTCTGAGTGGTCAACAGACCAAGGCATCATGGGATTGCCAGTGGATGGCTAACAACTATGCAAACAACAACACTAGTTTTCAACATGGAAAAATTGATCAATAATCACAGAAGACATGGGGTGTCATTTGAGTTGACTAGGTGTAAATGCTGAAAATTCTAAATAAATTATATTTGCACTGAAAATGTTGTGAGATGTTTAAAGTGAAAAAATAATATTTTTGCAACAGAATTTTTTGTGGCTGCATCAATTTCTTTAGTGAAAGGTGCAATACTTTCAATGTTTGATTTTAAAGTAATTCAAAAGTATTTAGGTTAGATTAAACTCCCTTTTGGTAATCTAATGGATTACATTTAGCCATATAATTTGTATTTAGCAATTGACTACATTTAAAAATAATCTGCCCCAACACAGTTGGTTGGGGTCCAACATGTAGTCTGCAAATATTGGAAATATTAGTGTTATAATCATTGACAGTATGGTTGTAATGTAGCCTAATGTAGTGTAGGCATTACACTATTACACAAGCAATGACATGGGCTAAAGGTATGGTGAGAAGAGGCTTCAAAGTATCAAAAGGAAAGGTATGTATGTCATGTAAAATGGCTTCTTTTCCCTAATAATATCCAACGTACTTATATAGTAGACGGAAAACAACATTTTACTGTTGTAGTTGGTGGTGGTGGAGCAAAGCACCCAATAACTATAAAGTGATGGAATAAAAATAACAATATTTCCATCTTAAATGTATTGGAGTAGAAGTATGAAATATTATAAAATGTATAATAATAAAAACAAAGTACAAAATCCTTAAGTGCATTAGCAAATGCACTTAATTATTTTCCACCACTGGGTACAAACTGGGTGCTTGGAGCTTTAAAGACATCTGTATTGAACAGGCAGGGACAGTATAACACAAAGATACTATTGGTTGCATTATGGGAAATTTAGGAATTAAGCATTTTATGGAGTTTTAACCCATACTAGCAGCTAAAAATATTACTGCTGGACAGATTTTGACCATTATTCTTTTAATATCTCTCTTGTTATTCCCTTAACTTTATGGATGAGCAATGCTTAAACTACTAGAGTACTTTTCATTTCTCATTGGTACAAGGCTGTTATGGTTCAATTGGGAAGACTATATGTGTGAGGAGCAGGAGGTTTTAACCTCTGTTTGCAGCCTTTTCTGCAGAATGACATTCAAACCCCCATCTGTGCCTCTTTGAGGGGTCAGGCCTGGCCTTCAACCAGCACCAACACAGACAGAATAGCTAATGAGAGGCAGCAGACAAAATGTCATTCCTTAACATTTTATCATTCTACATGTAAAGGCCAGACATCTTTCTTCATTCCATGCTCCTATGCAGAGAGTGAGATATTATGATGATGATGATGATGATGATGACAGTCAAAACCACTGGTGCTTTATATGTATGTACATGTATTCATGACTGTGTTAAGAGCTACTTATAGATGTGGAAGGCTAACATAGGTGCCTGACATAAGAAACCCATTTAGTCACAGGTAGCAATGGAACATGCTGTCAATTCAAAATATGACTTAAAAAGGAATGAAAAATGTTTCTCTGAACAGCACAGTAACAACCCTGCAAGGACACATTTAATCAAAATCTTCAGCTGCCTGTCTCCCAGCGCATAAATATGTTCTAAATGATGACCAGTTATAGCTATTAAAGCAGATCATTTCATTTCACTCATGTATATACAATGTTGTTGTCTCTTACACATCCACACAAAAAACATGGCATAAATACTGTAAATGGAGTAGGATGCAGAAGATATACTGTAAAAAATACAATAATAATGACAAATATATGAATTGTGTCATCCCATCCTGAATGTGCTGTGGTATCTGCTTTCCTTAAATATCAATATTTCTACTGTCATTCATTTATGTCATACACTGCAGCAACAAACTGTAACGAGTTATTTTTAAAAGCACAACTGTAACTTGTAGCTTAGAAATTCATCTTAATTTCTACACTACAAGTTATTGTTGGTTTGTGCACAAACTTACCTGAACGTGTTTCATTCTTTACTGTGTGGCTGTTCAAACTGCAGGTCTCCCTCCAGTTGATAGGTCAGTGTGCAGGCTGAGGAGAAACCAGTAGAGAGAGCAGACATCCATGCAGGGGAGTGACTGATGAGAGGAGGGAGTGAGAACCAATATATACGTCAGATGAGAGTGAAAGGCAAGCCTATGGTAGCTGAGAAGCAGGAGGCACACAGCCAATGACAGCACGTCCCATTGTGAGCAACCACAACAAAGACATGGGTCTCTGGTAAAGCATTTGCGCAGGTGAGATTCAGACTGTTGATGTGTGGAATGACAATAGTGCTGCCGACGTCACCAGAAAGTTCAAGGCTGTAGACAGGTTTATTTTGGTGAAGATTGCACAACAGAGAAGCTTCGCTCACTTCATGGACATATTACCATATTCCGAAGTCAATGACGGAGAAAGGCTGAGAAAATAAGTCACTTGATTCTATGGTTGGCTGAGAGGGATTCAGCAATAGTTTTTTAAAGGGCACCTCCAACCTGATGTCCTTGTGTCCAATGTGGTAAAATTAAAAGCTGACAATGTCTGTCTGTGTTACGTTAAGAGTCAGTATGATGAAGAGCTCACATTTAGTCTTCTGGTGCACTGTTCTTACGCTCATATTGATTCATCTGTTCCAGGTTGTGATTTCCTGTTTGCTGTGCTTAAAGGTCCAGTGTGTAACATTTAGGAGGATCTATTGGCAGAAATGGAATATAATATTCATAGGTATGTTTTTATTAGTGTATAATCACCTGAAAAGAAGAATCATTTTCGTTACCTTACAATGAGTCGTTTTTATCCACAGAGGGAGCGGGTCCTCTTCCACGCAGTCCACCATGTTGAGCCTCCATATTTCCAGTGTTTTAACATTACTCGTCTTCGCCTATCACTCTCCTTCTCTACTGCTGAAATTCTGATCCAATGCCTACTGCAACAGCATTTTATATGGCACATAAGTCATAAAGTCACAAATAAGCTCCACTATATCCAAAACTCTGCCACTTGCCAGAGTCTGTCTTCCAGAAACTCCACTGGCTCCCTGCCCTCCACAATCAGTCCGCTCCTACTTCACCGATCTGCGCCACCACAATGCCCTATCCCGCAGCCTCCACTTCTCTGTTGCTAACCTCCCATCTCCACCACTCGGGAACAAGCACTAGACCTGGGATGACAGAGCCTTCTCCATAGCTGCTGCCTCCCTCTGGGACTCTATCCCCAAACACATCAGAGGCTGCACCGATCTGTCAATGTCTAAATCTCTAATCAAAATTCACCGTTTTAGAGTTGCTTTTAACCCATGGTTAATGTTGTGTTGTATATTTCAGTGTGTTGTTTGATGATGATTTTAACTTATGTAAAGTATCTTTGAGTGTCATGAAAAGTGCTCTATAAATAAAATGTATAATTATTAACCCAGTTTCACAGCCACCGTAGTTTCTCCTTCAGGCTTGCGAGCAGTATTCAGTTGGTTGGAATCTCCATTCTCACTGCTAGATGCTACTAGATCATACACACTGGTTCTTCAAGGCCCCAGTATGACTCCAACTAATACTGTCCACCACATCTAAAGGTGCTATCAGACAGATAAGGCTGTTTATGATGTTCAAATTGAAAACATGCTGTATTAACCGTGTCATATTGCTAACCATTTCCTCTGTTTTAAGTTACAACCTTTCTACAGTCAGTGTTTGGTTTGTCCGTTCTGGAATTCAATTCTTATTTTCAGGTTCACTAATGAAAACATACCTATGAATATTATATTCCATTTCTGCCAATAGATCCTCCTCAATGTTACACACTGGACCTTTGAGCCCCCTCAAGCATTTTGTATTTTTAAATAAAGAAATATATTAAAGTTAGTAACTAGTTGTGTTGTTATTAAGTGTGGCTGCTGAAGTCTTTGCCCAATATGTTTTTGTCATTCCTTTGTGCCTTGTAATAAGCTTATAGCTATTTTGTTAAATATGCTTTGGCCAAAGTCAGTTAATAGCTACATTTATATTGAATGTCCTGCGTGCCATATCTGCTTTTATTGAGAAAACAAGAACTTAAGCAACTCATGAAAATTGACTATTTTCCTAGCACCCTGCATATTGGACAAGCTCTACCTTTTGCACCAGGAGAGAAAAACCCCTGGTTTTGGCTTTGTTTGCTATGTGTCAAACTAGTTAGTGGTAACTGGATTAACTACACAGGCTCACCTCGTAGTGCATGCAGCCATGTACTAAGGCCTTCTGCTGCATGTTGTCTCCTCTCTCTACCTCCTTCCCTGTTCTTATTCTCAAACAAATTTGCACATAAAATCCCTCTCCCTTTTCAGTCCTATTTCTGTCACCCTCACTTTTATAGTTTCAGGCAGATTTTCCCCCTAAAATCTCTCTAAACTTTCCAACTGCCAAATTCCACTCAAAAGAAGATAGGAGTTGATAAAAATGTTAAGTGAGTTGCTTTTAATTTTTACTGCATGCAATAAACTTAACAAGCAGCGAGTGAGTAATGATTCTTTAGCCACGTGTTTCTCCTCTCAGGCTACTTACACCCTGCGTTCTTGCTGTAGGATTTTGGGGAAGTATGTGGACTGCCTGAAATAAGCGGCTTCACCTTCTCTGCCATTCAGGTACAAAAAAAGAAAACTTTTGTCAGTTTTATTTAGTTATATATATAAAACCTTTTTTTGACACTAAACCTTGTGTAGATGACGCACTGTAGATCACAGTAGACCCAACTAGTACTTGATGAAACACACATTATTAACATTAATATGTTTTATTGCTACCCCATCTACAGCAGTGCATTGGGCGATTAAAGAAAAAACTAAAAGCATCCATCATCATTAATTAAGGTCAGAGGGAATCAAAAAATCAATGTCTGTTGTCTTGTAAGTCTTGTAACTACCTGGATATGTGCATCAGTTCAAAGTGTTTATCCATTACAAATAACTGGCAGATGGGCTGAGATGAAGCATCATGTAGCAAAACCTGAGCTGAAATGGCCATCATGATCAGAAGAAAACTTGGCCAAAATTGTTACCTTGTGTGGTTTGTGCACTTCATCAGAAAGGAAGGATTCAGCTGGTTGTTATGTCTAAAACTGCCAGACAAAATATGTGATCATATTAAAGCTGAGGTATTATGTTTTTCCTTGGTTTAGCAGAGCATAATAGGCTCCTTTAAGGATAAACCTTTTTTTTTTTTTTCATAAATAGAGGGGTTCCCCCACCTGTGAATAACTACAGTAGGAATTTTTGCAACTGAAATGTCATGTTCATTTCAACTCTGAGAAAAAGAAAAAACATAACAACTTAGAATGACTCAACTGTACAAATAACTTTTTAAAAATCACCAAGTCCAGCATTTACATTGTTCTGGTGCCCATTTACAATTTTTTTGGAATTCCTCTTCACTGCTCGGTGCTCTCATAGACTTCAAATCTGTATTGGATACCATTCTCCTCCTGCAGCTCTTGTGACACTCCTGGAAACCTGTAGGAGAAACAAGCCTTACTGTATGTTCCTGTAGTAGCTGTTGAGCAATTTACTTTTATAATGTAAAGTAAATCACCTTTAAAAGGACAATTACAGTTTATTACAACTTATTTTCCACAGGTTAATCAAACTTGTTTGGTTGAGGTGTACTCACTTTCAGTTTGATTTTCAAATAAAGTGGTTAACATACTCTTGATATATTGTAGTTTGTTCCCTGATCATCTGACTTCAAGAGTTTCTTGACCCATCTGATGTCACTGTGCACCAAGATCTCAGCAAATAACTGGGTTAGTACAAAAACTGCTGGGCCAAAACTACAAAATATGAGAAGTTGTAATAAACCTAAATTACCCACAAGTGACCCACTGATCTTACTCTGGCAGCAGCTGATATTTGTCTGGACAGATTTCAGGGAGGAACGTGTCACACTCAAACTGCTTCAGGATTCTTGTGACGAACAATCTCCTGGTCCCCGGGCTCTCCATCAACTCCTGGTTAGCCCAAAGCAACCAAAACATAATTAGAGAAAGAAGAAGTCTATATGACTGAAGAAGTGTTGATCATCATCACCATGACTGATAGCTGCAACCAATAATTGGATATTATTTTCCATTGTAATTTGTTATCAGATACTCTATTGGTTATTTAAAATGGCCAAGTAGAATAATTAAATCATGTGTGAGACAGAAGTAAAACATGTGAGCAATGGACACTGAGTGTTCCATACAGTACCTTGTAAAGAGAGCTGCCTCCTATAACCCAGACCTGGTCAGCCTGGTCCGCCAACTCCGTCTCGACCAGCCTCAGTGCCGAGTTGAAGTCTGCTGCCAGGTGGTGTGCTCCTGCAGGGGGCACTCTGGAGGAGAATTGGCACTTTATCAGGTGACTGCGACAATTGTGCAATACTTGACTCCAACGCACACAGACAGCTGAGAGTTGTCACAGCGGAGAGCCTGAACCCAGGGGAAGCAAATTTTATTACTGGAGTTGAGCAATATGTAACTATGCTTGTTACTGTGTGCAATAAAACCTCAACAAGCAGACCCTTTCAGATAAGCACCTGTTTTTTTACCTCTTATGTCTGCAGCTCATTTTGGCCAATTGCCGACGTGCACATATTGTTTCAACCTAATTGCAGAGAACATCAAGTCTCTCCTGCAGTGAAATTTACATATTATTATGCCTACTCTAATAGTGGTGGCCATTTGGCAGATGCAGACATAAAATAAACACACACATTCACATTCAAACTGTAAAATTCATCCTTGACATCTTCAACAAAGTCAAACAGCAGGTTGTCTAGAATAATGTACACCATGATGCTTTTAGCCCTTTGCTATCTGTTTCAGAAATGTTAGAAGACCTCCACGCTGCAGACATTCTTGTCCCTCTTTAACGCTGACAGATAGGGTCATCAAGCATTTAGCCTAGCTAACAGTTAAATTTAAGCGGCGTCTTACTGGCCTGTCACAGTGGAAGAAATTGCAGATGCAGGTGTTTCATCTTAAAGGCTTCATCGACCAATACCAATATCATTGTGCATCCCTATATTTAGTTTTTTTTTTATTGTCAAACGTTGTGGATAGTACAGTAAAGTCTGAGGGCCATTTAAATTATGGGTATTTCCCAGGAGAAACAAACCGAAACGGGAGGGCGCCTTGAAATACGGGAGAAACCCAGGAAAGACCTGATACAGTCAAACATTACATTTCATTTGCACACACTGTTGTGTAGCAGTATTAACTGTGTGTGACACATACTTGCACTCCCTGCTGAGGACGATGTTGATCCTGTTGTTCAGAGGCCTGTTCTTCTCTGGGATGGAAAACCATGTCTTCCTGCCCATGATCACCACATTCTGCTTGCCTGCAAGACAGCAAGGTTTGAATTCATTATTCATTAATCAGTACTCAACTCTCCTCCATGTACAGATTTAGAACTTCCTCTATGCAAGGTTCAAGTATATCAACTATAAGTGTGTAAACTGATGTTGATATCAATACAAACTGACTAGAACTGGGATAGAAATGGAGGGCAGTAAGACGCTTTGTGGTGTGCTGGGGTTTTATCTAAATGAACTCAGAGCAGGATGCACTGACTGTGTGAAAATCTGATGTCACAGATGACGAAGAATGTGTGTACATTAGTGTATATGAAACCACACCATCAACTACAGAGTGGAAAGCAGAAAAAGGTACCTTGAATAGTTGTCTCTTTTAATTACTTGAAGGCTACATGCAATTGTTGCAGTTTTTTGTTTGTTTTTATGTTCAAATGTTTTTCATAAAAGGAGTTTATGTTCAAGTACATGGGTTTTATTGTTTTGTTTTTTACTGTAGTATCAAATGAATGTAGAGAATCAGGGAATTTCACTGGTATTTACTGGTATCCACTACTGCATTTATGGTATTGCTAAATCCCCAGTGTTGAGTGTGAAGATCTCAGGGTGTCAAAGCAGAGCCCCAGTAGGGTAAACCAATAGTGAAGCCTGTTAGAGGACTATAATGGACCCATTGAGTTACATCCAGGTAGCTACTATTGTATTACTATAATGTTGTATGAAATGTTGTGTTGTTTGCACCATGAGCTCTCCAAAGTAAGTTCCTGATAACTTTTGAAGTAATGGCGACTTTTATGGGCAATGTAAATATTCAGTGACTTAAACATCTTTGCCCATCCTAACATACATCATAGTCTGCAGCTTCTTTATTCTAACCCATCCTTCTTCCTCTATCTGTTTTACAGTTCTAGTAGTCTTTGGAGGAGTAGAATACCATATAGTTCACGTTGGTCGTTGTACACTGTGTGACTAATAAATCTTTGACCTCTGGACCAGTGGACGCTATGCCTGTTTCCCTTCATTAGACCTTTTTCACAGCAGCCATTATGACATGAAATAGCAGGGTCAACACAGCTGTTAGCAATGATACGAATTAAGGTTCCGAGTGCTGTGCATGTTCACTGTAAAGGCTCTGCTGAACTAAGTGGAACAGAACCGTGGTTAATATCATTCAGTGGTAACACCTGTGTTTACACTACTGTTTCATCTCAAAATGGCCCTTGTGATAAATGTCTATTAAGCCTAAAACATGTAATTCAGTTACCTTTCACAGACGGAGTCGCTGTCATTGTTCGGAAGTGTTTGAATTCGTTACTATAAAAGAAGAAGAAACAGAGTTAATACATTTCTAGCGCTACCACGCGACCTGCGATGTCTCGTGCTCTTCGTTGCGTAAAGACAGAGCTCGAGCTCAGTTAATGTACAAACCCTGTGAACTGCTGCGTTATTCCACACTAACAGTGTACAGTGGACTTACCCGAGTCTAACGGGGTGCCAGGGCAGGTTCCCATTCATCCCGATACCCAGGTCGGGACACACCGCCACGATACCGTTCAGGATGCGGGACATTGTCAGAGGACTGGGGACTGGACACTGGACACTACACTCTGATTTGTAGTTGTGTTACAGCTTCCCGCCTGCAAATATTATGATGACGATTTCTTCTTCTTCGTGTTTTACGGCAGCTCACAGCTCAATGGCTCTGATCACTGCCATCTTATGGATTAAATGGCTCCTTCCTCCACAACAACCCCAGGATCTCTGCAGATCAAACTTACTAAATGAACTTTATTAACATTTCAGCAAAATATATCCACAGAAGGCTTAAAAGATGACCTTCCTTTTATACTTTTAAAGATACCTATTTTAATACTATTGCAAAACCTAAAAATCAAAAATCATAAATTGACAAAAACTATTATTTTATTTAGGCATGAATTTACTACAGTGGTTTAGCAGACCCTGGAAGTTTTTGTTTTTATTCTCCTATATTTTATTTGTTGTATTTATTTATTTTTTTTAATATATATTTTATATGTGCATGAATATACACTATAGTAGGAACTATTTATAATGTAAATCTATCTGGAACTTTGGTATACTCATATAGTTCATGCACTGCATAGTTTTTTTTAAACAGTCCTGTTAAAACCATACAACTACTATCTGTGTTCAGACTGGTTTTAAAATAGCAAGGCTCAAATGCATCATTGTATCCTCATCTTGCGTTAACTGTTAAATTGTATGTTCTGTACATTTTATTTTTTCAACATGAATACCTAAATGCAGTTTCAAAGCCAAAATGTGTATCCAGTGTGGTGGTTTGTAACCGTAAAATGTTAACTTGTTAAACAACTTGTGGGAGTTTACCCTCAAATTTCCATTAAAAATACAAAACAAAATCTCAATGTCCTGCTTCCAACCCCGGTCTTACTGATCATGGGAAATGTCCTGTCTGAATAATTTTTTGTAAGATATTTTCTTTTTCTTAAAAAAATCATGTATTCTATCCTTCTAGCTTTCTGTCCACATGGCCCAAACTGTAGGGGCCTCCACCTTGGGACTAGTAGCTCATGAGCACTGAAACTAGACTAGTCTAAAAATCTAAACAAGCATTAATACAAAAACAAAAATCAGTTTTATTGTAACTGCCATGTTACAAACAGAACTGTAGTAGAAAACTGTGTATAAACAATGCAAATATAAAGCGGTGTGCTATTTAGGAAAACAGTGCAGTGGCTCAGATGCAGTTCTCAGAGTAGACAGGAGCTTTGGCACTGAGCCCTTATGAGTTAGCCTCTCAGCTTCAGGGGGCGCTCTGACTGTGAATACAGCAGGGGCAGCAGTGCAGAGAGTCATGGATGAAGAGATCACACTCCACACAGAACACACCGCGACATGTTGGACAGGTGAATATCTAGAGCCACAGGAAGGGAGAGAGAGCAGAATACAGATGGCTAGAGGGACTTAATACGTAAAGGTACACAAGTTTTACACTTAATATTACTGTATTTCTTTTTTTTAATAAACCAGTTAATTATTTATTAGCAGTTATTACTCCAGTCCCATATAGTGTAGGACTAAAAAGACAGACTTAAGAAAAGAATGTTCACAGTTAAATGAAGGTTACTGGTAATTGTTACAATACAATATGATAAAAGGGTGTCCTGATGGCTAAAGATGGCCACACAATGTACAATTTTAGAAATGTTAACCCAGTTTCTGCTGTATGACTAAAAATGGGAAAGTGACCCTTTAAAGTGGAAAACTCATGTATGTTCTTCTCCATCAGAAAGGCCTCTACAGATCCTCTGGACATACACTCACACTGTACTCACACTTTTATCTTTCAGCTCCCCTTGACAAGCTTGACAGAACCTGAAAAAAAACAATGTAGGTTTTAGATACACAGCGGCACATAATCTGTGTGTGTGTGTGTGTGTGTGTGTGTGTGTGTGTGTGTGTGTGTGTGTGTGTGTATCACAGCCACCTGTCTTCTTGAAGCTCCTCCACAGGACCCTCTATAAAGGCTTGGAGGGGGAAGAGGTGGTGGAAGGATCTGGCGAGATGGGGGGCCAACACCAGAGTCAAACCTAGGAGACAACACACCACACACAAACATACCAGTCAGGGCTATGGTACTTCTATTGGTTTGAACACACAGCACCTTTAAAGCAGCAGAGTACTTTTTCACTGCCACAGAAATGGAATGAAATCCTCCCATCACACATACCACAGACTTTACACTCCACGGGAAGCTCTGTGTACTTGGCATGGCACTGCGGACAAAAGTATCCTCCCAGAGACAGACCTGGACCACTGCTGCTGTCCAGATGACTAGGAAACAACACACCAGGAGCAATACATGACAAAGAATATTCCCTCTTGTACACAGTGGCTGCTCACAGTGTACTAGAGTGCCCACAAGGTTTAAATCATGTTGTTTTCTACTTACGCCATGCTGAATGAAGGCTTGGCATCCTGGTCAGTGGGAGAGGCGACGGTGTGCTGTGGAAAACCTGAGCAAACACAGGATTCCAGTTAGGTGTGTCTAAGACAAATATTCAGTAAATACTTTTATGGTTATTGTGATATTTTGATGAGGAGCAAGAACAGCCTTTATGGAAAACAGGGAAACATTTTATTAGTGGTTTCAAGTGTTCAAAAGAACTTTTGTCCAAATCTTAAAACTTTTCAATCTAAGCATTTCAACATGACAACAATTTTCACAGCAGCCAATTTGATGTGAAATAGTAGGGCAAACATTGGTGTTACAAATGATACCAATTCTGCTCAACTGTATTTAGTGTAGCAGAGCCTTTCCAGTGAGCCAACATGGACAACAGCAGCACCCTGACTCTGTTTGAGCTGTCAGTGACCTGCATACTGACCCATGCGTATTAAAGAGCATTCAGATGAGGAACTGGCTGGAGGAGGTTTGACGTGCAGCATCAGCAGCTCTTTGAAGTGACACTCATCCAGGATAACATGGTACGAGCCACCCGTCTCCCTGGTCAACACCGTACACACCCTGACCTCTGCTGACAGGCCGATTACTGACACCCGCACCTTTAGAGACTTCAGGGTCTGACAGAGGAAGAACACGGTTAGAGAGAGTTACATTCAAGGTAAGTTGAAGATAAATGTCACTGGTACAGTAAGCCTAGCAGCTGAATAAGTGGACATTGTTGCACTGTGCACCCCTAGGGAATAGGACTTTTAAGTGACTTCACCTTAATCAGCTCATAGATGTTTGCTGGGTCACATGTGGTGAGGCTGCTGAGGATTATCAGGATCTCTCGGCTCGTATGTCCAGGCATGTGCCTTCATATAAAGACAGGCACCAGCTGAGTGACATTCAGTTAAATTACAGACACTGATCTAAAACATAAGCACTGCAGGACCTACTTGAGGGTCTGTATGGCCAGGTTGAGGGAGTTGTACAGGGACGGCTCTCCTACACACACAGTGTCCACTGCTTTCTTCAGAGCAGCAATGTGCTTCTTTGGGTTTCCTGGTGGTGAAACAAAACATCACATTATATTAAAGTGTTCATAGCTGACAGCCAATGGTAAGTGGTAAATTGAAGCTTTCTGTGGATAGTGTGATACTTGCTGCTGTTTTTTTTTGCTTTTATTAGATAGGACAGATGAAGATTGACGGGGGGGGGGTTGAGACACCCAGGCCACAGGTCAGAGTCAAACCCGTGGCCGCTGCAGCAAAGACTCAGCCTTGGTACATGGGGTGCCAACTCTACCAGGTGAGCTACCAGGGCGCCCCATTGCTGCTGTTTAAAGGTTCTGTATACAAGTCACTGGCACTAGATATCACACTAGAGCACCAAAATCTCAGACCAAAACAAATGGGTGCTACGGCCCACCAGACTCCACTGACAAAAACAGTAATTTTACCTTGCACATCATTGTACAACAAACTTGATTTAAACTCAACAGAAACAAAATAAAACTCACCAACACCAACTTTGTTAGTCATTCAACTGTTCCTACAATCACCAACTCTGGTTTGGTAAAAAATAACTTCTTAATTCACCGACAGTCATGAAACAAGCTACAATGGCTGCAGTGTCCAAGTACTTCCACTAACAGCCTGTTGTTGCCCCTGACTGGCTCTGGTTGTTATGTGACTGTCTGCCAACATTATGGAAAGGATCCCTAAAGTGATAGAACTTTTTGTTTAACCAGAAACAGCTGTTATATCACAATTGCTCACAACCATACTCCACTGACAACAGTCATTTTAGTGGATCATCGTAACTGAACTTCATTCAAAGTCAACAGAAACTAAGTAAAACTAATTTTCTGTACAGTACATGGAGCTCAAGAAGAACAAAATATAGGCTGAAGTTGAAAGATAAAGCCTTCCTTCAAGTATCACATTGAGGAGTGGAGTCTAACACGAGCAGTTCATGTGATCCTCACCTGCCAGGTCAGTCAGCTTCTCAGCCCTTTTATTCTTCGTGGTGATAATGCCCACCTGAAGACACACAACACACACAGTGTTATGTCATATAACATATTGTTGCAGGTCCATTCCACAGCTTAAACTTACAAGTTCCCCATCACAACAAAATGTAAAAATCCTGGCTGGTGCAGACCTACACTCACTACTTGTGTCTTTGTACAAGAATATGACTTTTTCTCCAATGAGGGGATTTAAATGTGAAGTCTCAATACAGTCCAGTGTAAAACATGCACAGAACTCATTACTGTATAAACATACCTGACTGATGGGGTTTTGGTCAAAGTATTCATCGACAAACGCTTCAATCAGCTGAAAAGGAAAGAAGAAAGGAGATGGTGCTTTATGGGTAATCCTACGGTAGGGCTGCTGGTGTGCAGCGTGACGGCTGTGCTGCTGAATCTACCTTTAGAGTAGAAGTGAGGCGGTTCGGTTTCAAGTCGTGGTCTTCCATACTCCTTGAACAGTCAACCACACATATATCAAAGGCATATACATTTAGTTATGATACATTCTTATAGCAGTTTTTTTCTTACATCCCAGCTGCACGCCCGGGTCTACGTGGTCTTTCTCATACTCAAAACCTTCCTGTCCTCTTCAAACATAACAGTTTAACAATACCACCAATACTACACTTACATATAGGTGACGTCAAATCTAGATGGCCACCAGAGACATCTACCATAATATATTAAAGTTAATGATACATTCTTAATAGCAGATTTTATTTTCTTCATAGCAGGGAAGAAAGTTGTATAAAGTTGTTGGGAGAGGTTGTATCCGAAAAAGGTTTTTTTAATTGAATGACGCAGGTTTCCCCAAGCTCTTGATTCAATATGAAGCTCAAAAGGTTCAGAAAGGCCCAAACATGAGGTCATTATTTTTAGGGAATAACGCATGATGCAGTTTTATGGCTGGTGACAAATAGTTTTGCCTTGTAAACTTTGTCAATGGCCGAAACCCTGGATGACATGATCTCAGATCTATCAAAACAATTATATACACAATGCTAACTGAAAGTGCAATGGGGTATTTTGGTCTGGGAGGGAAATTACTGTGGTAATAATAATGTGTTTTTCTTTATGGAGAAACGAGTTTAAGTGGGCAGTGTAGACTGTCACTGGGCCAGAACAACCTATGTGCTTCAGAAACATACAGATAATGAGTGAAGCACAAGGTACTGTAGGAAGGAGGCAGAACACACTCACCATTCCAAGCCTGACTTGTCCATGGCTCTCTATCACCCTATGAGGTAAACACAGTTGTAAATATGTTATTAGTATAAACAGTAATAAGCTTTTAGAGAATTAACTTTACTGGGACTGCCCAGTGCAGAATTGTGATATTACAAAATATGGGGAATAAGGGAAAGTGTTCCACAGACATATTAGTAGTGCATACATTACTCTTTGGAGCATTCAAAGAAAAATACATGTACCTAATGCATTCAAACATGCAATAAAGATTGTGTTATAATGCTTGAATTATAACTCCAGCAGGAGAGCGTAGGTCTCGTTCACATCATAACAGAGAAGAAGTTCCAGCACCGTGTTCAGAGTAACACACCTTTTCCTTTTGGACTGGAACAGGATCTCTTCCACTGTGGCTTTGAGTGAGCCAGATTCGTCCTCCTTCAGCACCTCCCTGTAGGAGAATGCATACATTACACAATATTGGATCAAATGACAGCCCCCCTCAAGTTACAAACCGTCCACAGTTTCACAGTCTTACCATGTCCTCTCATAGCCCCCTTCCCAGCGCTTGGCCCTCTCCGGTTCTTCATCCATTTTGTCTACCACACCAGAGATTCAGCTAACTAAAAGCCAAAGAACTTGGAAACAACAGGTTCACATTAATACACATGTCTACTGCACAAGGTGTCGAATCAGCATTCATGGCCAGGGAATAGGAAGGAGCTACTTGTTCATACTGATTTTATTACATTAAACCTGTTTTGTGAATTATTCATCTGCCAAACAGATTCATAAAAAACTGCACTCTACAAAGTTAGGTAGTAAAGACAAAACAGAAAGCATTATGGGAGATTCTAACGAGCCCACAAACAATACAGCCAAACTGTACATGTCATTATCTGTGCGGGATATTGTATCATTAGAAAGCACTGCTGATTCATCAAAGACTGTTCGCTATTCGTTATTCAGTTCCATGTATTCTGAACAGAGTTTGACATGATACAAACATAACGTTATCAGACAATAACTCTATAAACAACAGATAACGCTGTCCGTACAGTTAGTCAGCAGCATTGTGAACATCTCGTTATGTTAACGTTAACGTTACATCAAATGAAACCTTACAGCTCATGACACAGCTAGCTAACGTGAGCTAACAGGTCCATTCAACGAGCATTACTGGGGCTCGTTTAAGGAACCATTGCGAACCTTTATCTAGTTACTGTGTGTCAGACAGCTTACTATACACTCATTAGAAACAGTCAGCTGTACCTACAGCGCCGGTGTAGTGAGTGTAACGCCAGCTGGTGCAACGGAGATTTCTGTCCGGAAAGAAACATGCTGTACAGAGAAAAGTATCCGCTCCGTTAAGAGTCCCGAAGCGGTGTCTCTTCCGCCCCAGGAACGGACGTGCAGTAGATAGAAGCTCTATTTCCAGGCAAAGTGTCCTGCACCTCCTTCTAATGGCGGTTTGAAGTGACAGCATGTGAAACTTCAAACCATAACTACATTGGTAAAAACATTGGTTTTCATTGGGTGCAACGGAGTTTTCTTCCGGAAAGAAACACGCTCTGCGGAGAAAGGAGCCACTGAGCTGTGATTGCCCTGCACATACTGCTACAGTTAACAGCACATTACCATGACGGGCTCTATTTCCACTCAGCAGTGCAACCCATGTTAAGATGTTATTTCAAACACAGTAACACAACGAACTCATTAATAACTGACATTTTATTATTCAAAGCGTACAGCCCTGCTTTCTCCAAAAGGTACTATACAAACGGACTTTGTTATTGCACACCAAAATATACATGTTGTATACATCTGTCTGTTCAGAGAAACAGTCCAACAAGCATTATTCCATCAACGGAAAATCTAATGAATAATAATATATTGACACGGTGGGAGGAATTGTTCATTTGCTTTTGAATAATGTGGAAATAAGAAATTAAATTCAGTATAGTGACAGTATAGACAGTATACACAAATGTTAGAAAAAATTGAATGGCACACCTAAAGGGAATGGAGCAATCATTAATCAGTTAGTTACATTTCAGCTTTTCCTTCAAAAATCCACCACGAGAAGGGTCTATAATAACAATTTACAATTACATGTACAGAGAGGTTTCATCATTTACAGAAAAAACACACAAAAAAGTACAGAGAAGCTTACCGCGGAACAATCTGTAAAACATTATTTACAAGGAATGATGATGCTAAGCAAATTCATGTCTCGTCTCATCTTAGCTGGGCCTTCATTTTAGAAACGATATTTTTGAAAAGCCTATAAAAGAAAATAACTGCTTTATAGAAGTCACAATACTACTGAAACTAAAATATATTACATCTTAAAAAGAGAAACAAATAAAATACAGTTATACACCTACATAGTTCTTCATGAAACTCACAGAGGTTGAAGAATTGCTCAAAGACAATAGTAAAAAAGTCAAAATTTCCTTCACCCCACTCTCTTCTCAAAAACATCTCAGTGGATTGGCTTGATACAGTTGTAATATAAAGGCAACAGGCTTTCACCAGCAATCCCACATTAGTGTGTGATAAACTCAAACACAGCGGTGTGGGAAATTGCAGATTTGTATCTTTCCCAGCATGAGCGGGGTCAGAGGGGAAGGTTCAAGGTCGTCGGTCATATTCACTGATCTTCCTCTTGATGTGCGACAGTTTGGACCTGAGGTATTTGCACCTCTTCTTCTTAATCTCGTAGGTTGGGGACTGCAGAGGTTAGAAAATAATTCAAAACAATTAGATTTTTTTCACAAACTAACTGTATTTCAGTGTAAAGAACAACACTGCTGGAAATGACGCCATACTGAGTGTCTTACCTTCTTGAGATTCTTTAGTCTGGTGAATTCATCCATGGCATCCTGAGATCAGAAAGATAGTGGTCAATGTTCTAACTCAGACCATCCTAGATTCTCACACGCATATGTTTTATGCTAAAACAAGGTTTATCAGCCTTTTCTGATCCATGTCATTTGCCACACTCACCAGAAACTGTGGACTGCCTTCAGGGTGCCGGCCCATCTCTCTGTCCAGGTCCGCCAGGTCCTGGTTTATGCTGTCCAGCTCAGCCTGCAGGCTCTTGTATTCCTGGTGATCGTGGTCAAATTCCCGTTTGTAGTTCAGACGCCCTTCCTCATCCACAATCAAAGGAAACAGACTGCAGACAAGAACAGAATGAAATTAACTTTATTGGGTGGCAACTTGATATCAATAATAACACTATCATCAGTAGAAATGCAGATGAATATCTTTCTCATAGTCATTACTATCATTGGCAATTAGAGCTCTTCACATCTACTCACAAGCTGAAGTCCTCTTCCTCCAGATCATCTCCAGACTCCACACCAGTGTCATAGTCCCTCAGCCGGGGCTTCAGGACTCCCACAGAGCTGCTGATGTCAGAGTCTCTGCAGATAGAATAATTGATTTATACATTTTTGTACTTTTCTTTTTCTTTTTTGTCACTTAGATCTTTATTGACAAATTGTTACAACAACAAGAACACATACAAACAAAACTAAAATAAAAAAAAAAAATAATAATAATTAAATTAAAATATTATAACAGCCTGGGAGAGCATAATATTCTCACAGTCTTACAAATTGGTATATCTATCAGTTATAAATCCAGTCCAGTATCATCATTTAGAGCTTTGTATAGGGTCAATTTTTCCCATTTTTGGTCCAGTTGTGCTTCCTGTAGCCTCAGTATATGTGTCAACTTTTCCATTAAAAAGACTTCTTCCACAATTGTTATCCATTGATCTTTCGTTGGTGGCGTTTCCTTTCCCCAGTTCCTAGTGATGGCTTTCTTGCCTGCCATCAGCAGTATTTTGATCAAGTATCCATCACAGGTGATAAAAAATCTCTTCTGAGAATTTGCATAGATAAAGCACTTAACAGGTCTTAGGCACTCTATATCCTAATATTTTATTTACTTTTCATTTTCGGTGTAATAAAAAAAAATTCAAATTCTCTCCAAATTCGTGAATTAGTGGATGAGTGATGTATCTTCCACATTTTATGCCACTCCTCATCTGAAATTTCCACATTAAGCTCTTCCTCCCATTTCACCTTAATGTATTTAGTCGAATGTTTGTTGTTAGTATTCAAACCTTGATATAATGATGAGATTATTCTTATGTTACTTTCCTGATATGCTTTAACTATGATTCGGATGACATCATTCACTTCTCTGGAAGAATCCGATTTGATCTCACTTTTATAGTAGTCCCTTACTTGAAAGTATCTAAAGATTTCGTGTGCATCTAATTCATATCTTCCTCTGAGATTTTCTGAAACTCATCAGCTCCCCTTTGTTTTTTACACACCAAGCAGTTATTCCTTTCCCTGCCCATTGTTTAAATCTTTGATCATATTTTGCCGGATTGAATTTGCTGTCGTAAGCTACCCATTTTAATATTTTTGCATCATTCTGGATCTTGTACATTTTCAGCACCTTAAACCACAGATCTAATGTGTGTACTGTAATTGGATCCATATTAATTTTATGTTCCTTATATAGCTGACTATCACCAACCATATTTTGAATTGGAATTTGGTTTACTTCTTTTTCTATATCTTTCTATTTTGCTCTAAATTCTGATTTACACCAACAATATACAGGTCTCAGTTGAGCAGCATAGAAATACTCCATCAGTTTCGGAAGACCCACACCACCTCTTTCTTTGGGTAGCTGAAGAGTTTTATGCACATGAGTGCAGTCAATAACCCCAATAGTATTGGGCATGTTCCCCAAAAGAAAAAACTTGTGCTTGGTCTGGGCAATCTGGTCATCCTTTGGAAGTGAAACAAACTGATTGACCAGGCTGGCCAGTGCAATTGACACAGCTTTCACTACATCACACAGTTAATTTGTCCACTCCTATTTTGTCACAAACAACTTGGTAGAAAGTCCCAGATGCATAGAAGCGCAGACCAATGAGGACCTGTTCTTCCACAGACAGACTGACTCCTTCGGGTTCTCCTTGTTGAAGTTTTGGCCTGACAAGGTCTGCAATGTACTTAATATCAGCATTCCCAAAGCGAAAGCGAGCATACAGTTCTTCAGTGGTGTATTGCTCCAGTGGTTTTGCACGCTCAACATACACCCTTTGACGGTATCCTCTTCCACCAAAATGGTGGTAGCGATGGACAATACCTGCCATGTCAGTGCCTCTCTCTAAGTCCTCTGAGAAAGGCTGAATATAAGATGGCTGTCAAATACCCACCCACCCATTAGCTGACGTGCTTTGGCTTGTGTTCAATTAAATCAATCATGCCCAAGGCCTATAAATACTATGTTTACTACAACAGATGAGGTGGAACCATGGACTCAAAAGGACCTAATTTCACTGTTGCAGAAACCCATGCACTGCTGGAGGGTGTTAAGTGCCATTATGCCTCAATAGTAGGAAGCTCTGTTGCGGGTGGAATGGTGACTAACAAAAGGAAGAAAGACATTTGGGTTGAAATCACCCAGAATGTGAATGCAATGGGGTCTGGCCAGAAGAGGACCTTGGAGCAAGTGAAATTCAGATGGAAGAATCTGAGGGCCAGAGCAACAAAGGACCTTGACCCAAACAGGCAACAAACCCTTTAAGAAAGGTGAATACACAGATGTGGTTCTGGACATTATTGGAGGTGAGAACTCTAAAGCTCTGCACAGGATTCAAGGTGTTGTAGGGGATGGTGAGCCTACGATTGTAGAGGAAAGTGAGCCAGTTCCTCCTAATGCAGAGGAAACATTTATTCTGGATCGAAGAACAACCTGGATCCTCACTGGTAGAGCCAGCAGTCACAGGAGCTCAGAAAAGAGACTTGAAGCTTCCTTGGCCAAATAATAATGACGATGCCTATGAATCACTTCTTAAACGAGAAACTGAAAGAGCAGAAGCACAGATACTCCTGGCAGAGGAACAAATCAAGCTGACCAAACTGCAGCAAACCAAAGTGAAACTTCAGATCTGCCTCCTAAAAGCAGGGCTTGAAAATGCCGGTCTCTCCTCCTCAGATGAAGAAGAACCCTTTTTTCCCCATTCTTTATTTTGTTAACTATTGGACATTTAGCCTTTTTTTTAATTTAAGACGTTTTCAAAATATCGACAATGTATTTGTTAATGTATACTTTTTTTATTTGTTGTGGCTCAGACGAGGGGTCATAAAAGAAATTATGAATGGAAGTGGATGTTTATGTTATTTTTGTGTTTTGTCTCAAAATAAGAAACACTTACAGTGACCCCATGTTGGCTCTTCTACCTGTTGTTCTTAACATAGCTGGTAGCCCACATTGTGATGTGTTGTCCCATTTAGAGCACTGGTAATCCGGATTTGGTAATCTTGAAAACTGTGTATCTGGATCAGGGTGATCCAGTCCAATGTTGCTTTGAAAAACCGGCATAAAAGTAAGACGGATTACCTGATCTTGAATAGCAAAAAAATGGGATTTCCAAATCCGGATCATTTTGATCCAGATTAAATGTTTTGAACAACTGGCCCCTAAAGATAGCTATAGTGTGGGTTTAGGCAGATTAATCATTAAAAGTTCAAGGTCACTAGTAAACCTTCCCATTGTTCCTTCACAATTTGGTTTTCTGGTATGTAATGAGTTCTTATGGCCTCATGGGGCTGCTAGCATCCAGTCTTGTTTTTTTCTTTCATGTGATCCTGTGTACACGTCAGTGCTGTCAGATAATATTTATATTTTAATATTTTTCACATTAAAAATTGACTCCCATTTTAATTTGATCCATTTGAAATTGTTTTTCTATTGGACAGGTGGACGCCAATTCAGGTTAGGCTACCGTAGACAAGGTTCAGCTCAGTGGCAGAAGACGGAGTTAACAATGACCTACAGTAGACTCCTGGGGCACAGTGACAGGCCCTTTTGGGGTGTGCTGTAAGATGCATAACTTACCCTGGCAGGTAAAGAGGCTTGCTGTGGTCCAGCTGGTCCAAGTAGTCTCTGGAACCCCCAACTCTAGGATTTGGGTCATTCACCAGCGTCTCTGGGACACCAGACACATTCTTCACCTGGAGAGAGAGACAAGGTCAGACTTTTTTCAGCAGAGTTTAACAGAAAACATTTTACTGTAGAGTTCTGTATTGTCTGTTTCTGAATTAAAAGTCAAAAAGTAATTCTTAAAAGCCACACTATCAACAAATGAAGATCATTTAAATATTGATGGGGTAGTGCTCGGCCTAGAGTCTGACTATCTAGTTGCATTATGGGAAGTATAGGATCCAGTGTTTTTAACTGCTTGAGCCAAACTAAAGAATAAACATCAGCATATCTTGGCTTCAGTTGCTTCAATTGTGACCACTCCTATTTTGAACAGCCTCTCACAGCTCATCCAGCTTTATAAAAGTGCAATATTAAGAAACTAGAGTGCCCCTCTAAGGCCCTACGTGTCATGTGTAAAATAACTGTTATATTGTTTGACTTTTTCACCATGTCACAACCTGCCATTTTAAACTACTTTAATGACTTTACTTTACTTTCTTGTAAAGACCATATTGTCGATTCATATTTTTAATTCACAACTGACCTCACTGAAACGAGAAAAATATGCATTTGCACATTAGCTTTACTACATTGTTAACCATTAATACTAACTATTATAATATAGATTTCTATGACTTATTAATCTTCTTTACTGTATTTTGTACATATAGTGTATTTTTAGAAGTATGTAACTAGTATAAAGGGAACTGCAACCTAAATTTCATTTCAGCATTGCAAAATTCAGATTAAATTACCTTGTATCCTATTATGTCAGATAAAATGTATATTTTTTATGTAATGACATTATATTCTTGAATTTTAGAATAGATGTTTTATGTTTTATTTCTATTTACTAAAACGAATCGTAATAATAACACATTAGTCTTAGATTAAAAAAACAAATCCCTGTACCCTTGTATTACAAAGATCTCCATTTTTAATAAACTCTTCTCCAAGAAAAGTTTGCTGCCCTGGGTTTCGGTCCGGTTTCCTTCGCCTCCTCTCATACTTGTACTAGTTTACACTTAAGCAACCTGTTCTCTCCATTTGATAAACACGCTGGTTGTATGCAGTGTTCACCAGGACCAACCGGTTCCACTGCTTCTCCCTTCTCCCTGCATGCCTGAATACTACCGATACCATCAGTACCATCAACAGGAAGCCTGACACAACGGCTCTCAGCCAGTACAACTGCTGAGAAAGTTCACACACCTGGAATGAAAACAATGCGCCAATGGAAACAGTTTTCAGGTGAATACTTTCACTTGTTTCACTGTCCTCAGAACGCAAACCATGTCATGTAAGAACACTTGGGATTGTATTAATGTTGTTTGGTGCACCTACTCCTCAGGATTTGTTGTTTAGATGTTTTACGTAGTTGCTGGATAAGTTTTTTGTTTTTAGAACAATTGATCCTGACAACACAGCACATCATGCTGCAACTAAGAGTGGCTTAACAGACCACACCCAGAAACTCTCCTGCCACACACACACACACACACACACACTCACACCTTTATCACTTCTCATCTGTTTTAACTACATAGTCATGTGTATCTGTGTATGGGTTTGGTTCCTTGAATTACAATATTTTCCTGTGTAACCATTTTCTGAGAACAGTTGTACACACCTAACATGCCTAATATAGCTCTAGTTTTTAAAGACTCGGAAGTCTTTCACAAGTCTATCTAGAGATCACATAAACATCACACACCCGCAAAAAGAAAAAACATGTTGCAAAGTAACTAAATAAACACTTACTCTCGATAAAACGAGACAAACAATAGTAATGGAACCTCTTAACATCCATTTATTTTCCCCTTAAGTAGATTTAAGGTTGTTGAAATGCTTAAATGTTGTCGTAAAATCTGCTTAAATACTCTCCTCCACCTACCTGCCCAACCAACAAGAGGTTGGTATCGGAGTAGCACAACATCGGACCCGATACTGGTTTCGGTGTATCCCTATGTGAAATTATCGTCTATATCGTGTATCATCTTGTTCCAGCTCTTCATTGAGGCTGTATGATGTTTATGAGTGAAATATTAAAACCCAAGATTCCATGTGTTTATGCCAGCACCATCCCATCAATGAAAACATTCTACATGCTTGTGCATCAATTTACACACATTCTGACCCTCATTATATTTGGTATCTTTGGAAATGTTGAGTGTTGATTGCCCAATTGAACATTTACCTTGCCCACTTAAAAAAGTACATTATGTTATGTTTGATTTAGTGCCCCAAGTTTAAAATGAACAGTAGGTCCATAATTTGTTGAATTGACCTCATGTACTTAGTTAAGTCTTAATTTGTTGAACAAATGTGTATTTATCATCAGGCTTTTGCTGTTAAACAAACATGGCAGTTAGACTTTGTCATACACACATACACACACTCACCCACTCTCCAATGCTGTTGTGTGGACCGTCATTAATGACCTTCACTTCCTCCCAGAGAACGCGGTCCCGGCCCCAGCGTCTGATACCAGAGCGAGTCTTGACTGCAAACACCAGCAGGATGATGAGGGCAACAAACACCAGTAAGCCCAGGACAATAGCTATAACCTGCAGAAACCAAAGGACTCAGTCAGTGGGCTGAAATTACATCCACTAACATGGATGGTAAATAACAGGGAGGGCTGTGGGATCTAACACAATACTCCACAGACTCCACAGAACAGGATAGCTCCAAGCTACTACTGGTCATTCTCCCAAAATTACAAAGTCACGTCTGCTCCTGCCCCCAAACAATCAAAGTATATCATAAGGTTTAAGAAGCTCAAAGCACCCAAAATTACATTTAAAAAACTGAGTAGCAACATGTCGTCTGTCGAATTTTTTAGACAGACATCACATCAGAGATAGATAACCATGCCTGCTGTCTATCTCTGATGTGACCTGCGCACCTTCTAATCTACTTAGGCGTCTAGCAGAGCAATCATTATGTCAGCTACAGAGACATGTTGTCGAGTGTATCAGAAAAGTTGGCAACTGCTTTTCTTTCAATCTACTAATGAATTAATTGACTAATTGTTGCAGCTCTACTGTTGACTACTTGGATAAAACAGAAAAATCTGTAATCTGTGATTGGATTCATTGCTGGCTTTCTGTTGGTAAGAGAGATATAAAGTATACACATCTTGCCCCACAGACCAAAACAGCCTCCCAAAAAAAGCAAGTGTATCGCACCTCTTGGGGCTCCACCACACAGTAATGGTACAGGTATTGGTTGAGGAAGATGCCCTGGGCCTGGTTCTGGTTCTGGTACTGGGCACACAGCTGGATGACCTGGTTGTACATCATAGACCCTGAGGACTGGGCTGTTGGGTTCACCGCAACCAAGTACACAATAGTGGCGATGACCATCAGAAATGCTAGGATGGCACAGATGATGATGACTGCTAGGTAGAACTTTGGTGAGCGGGCAGTGTGTTGCCTCGAGATCACCAACACAAATATGATGAGCACAGCTATGAAGGTAATGGCGGCGATGGCGATGATGAAGGCTTTGCCAGCTTTGGGATCCATCTGCGTTTGTCCATAGCCATAGCCACCAATACCGCCACTGCCGCCACTGCCGCCCCCATACGAGCTGCCGTAACTGCCGCCGTAAGAGCCACCGTATGAGCCGCCGTATGAGCCGCCGTATGAGCTGCCATAACCTGGCAACAGGCTACTTCCTCCGCCCAGACCCATGAGGCTCATGTCGTAGTCCCAGGCCAGCGTAGAGGCCACACAGGCAAAAACAGCCACACACATGATGATGATGATAATACACAATATCTTCATCACACCTGGGGGTGAAGTCCAGCGATAGAAGTGGAGCATCTCCTCTCCTGGGTAGTAGGTAAAGGCTGGATTGGACATGAGCCCACTGTGCCTGTGTCTGCTACTGTGGCTGCAACAGAAAGGGGGAGGAGCTGTGGTCACTGTGTGCAGAACAGAACAAACTGCCGAGTGGTCTGTAACCTCCTGGCTGATGCTGCACTTCACATATGGCAAAGTAAACACTCACACTAAATACTGATACAGAAGAAACCCAGCTAGGCCAGTGATACTGGACAAAGATAACATGAAGCGAGACAACTTACAATACACGTTTTACTGATAATAAAAACTTTTTTAAGATGCAGTAGGTCATTTTTATAAAAATAACTTTTTTCATATTTACTGAGATTTACACTGTGTCCTGATTCTAGTGTTCCTAATGGAATTGGCAAAAATCTGGACCAAAACAACCAATCAGAGTCCTGAAAGATGTAAAATAGCTTTGGGTCGGAGGCTAGTCGATTGTTGAGTCTCATTCCCAGAGACCCAAAGGATATTTCATGACTCAGGAATGAGACTCAACAGGCAACTATCTAGCTTGGCTCTGATTGGTTTGTTCCGGCCCAGTGGATTCTCCCAAATGCCCTTAGGAGAACTAGGAGGAGCCAGAGGAACCTGAATTTTTCACAGATTATCTTTCTTGTGTACTACTGTCAGGATATAGTGAAAGTTTTAGCAAATATGACAAAAATAGTTTTATAAAAATCACCTACTGCAGCTTTAAAATAACCTGTTCAACATTTTATGAAATCCTCTTGCTAACTTAAAGATCACTTAACATTACAGGGGAGGTCAGGAATAAAATATTCACTGTCTTCCTGTTCCAGACAGCTTTGTAACTGTCGCAAAATGACAGGATGTGGTCTGTGATAGACAAAAACATTCAGAAGGACAAAGCCAGTAGAGAATAGCATTACCCGCCTGTATCTGACATTACAGCAAAGCATTCAATGAGCCATTTTTTTCTGTTGTCGTATTTGTTCCTAATATATTGGTGTTAGTATGTTTCCATCTATTTTAGCAGAAAAAAGTAAAATTTCACACTGAAAAAGTCCATGTATCTTATCATAACAAGATAAAACTTCCAAATCCACTTTAAAATACAATGACGTCTCTCTGGAGGACCAGCCGGTTTAGTAGGTAATTGTTCCTGGGGTGGAGATGAAAAGTTACCAACATTGTTTACCAACATCAAACTGTTTAACCTTTAAACAATTATATTGCTAGTTCGAACATTAAGCTGCTACAGAACTATGTGCACTGAAAGGTAAAAATCATCACTGAATAAAGTGTAAAAAGTATATCGGTCGTTCAGTCAGCCAACTCACGTTTGGAATGTTCATTAAGCAGTATAGCATATTTAGATTTTGGCGTCTAGGCTCCGACCGCATCACTCCCCGCAGATATGTTTACATAGAGATATTGGGGAGTGATGAGCAAATACCTTAACCCCCAGTCGGAGCCTACAGGTGGATGCTGGGGTGGTGGTGGGGCTTACAGCGCAGCAGGCAGCAATAGCTTACAGAGCAGCAGCAGCAATATGGATGCAGGGCAAGAGCGGCATTGACAGACCAGAGGGAGAGCTGGGAAATTGTGCAGTTTAAATAGACCGCCAGATTGGAAGGGAGCACTTGGTTAGTGATTATGGAATAAGGCATGTCATATGTGTAATCAGCACAGCTCCAGTTGACTGCCTGAACTAGCTCGCAGGCTTCACTCCATTAGTTAGGACTGAGACATGAGGATGACAAATATAGGTCAACTTACTGTTTGCTACCACTTGAGTGGTGTTTGTTGTGTGGCATATTGAAATGCAACTGGAACTGCTATATCCTGCAGAAAGAACAATCATTTTGTCACAACAGTTGATTTAGCAAAAAAAAAAAAACAGGCTGTATGTCTATGGCAAAAGTATAAAAAATAGACTTTTGTATAATGTTAACAATCAGCATCATTGTTCGATCAACTATCTACCATTACGCAGCAGCCATCCATCAAATTTACCAGCAAACTCAATTCACAGTTGCATAAATGAAATAGTCATTTTCTTGATTAATCGATCAGTGTCCAGAAAATGTCAGAAAATGTCAGAAAATGTCTGCCAGTGTCTTGTTTTGCCCACAACTCAAATATATTCAGTTTACCGTCATAGAGGACTAAAGAAAGCAGAATATATTCACATGTAAGAAGCTGAAAAAATGCTTAAGAAATAACTCCAAATGATTAATCAATTGTCAAAATAGTCAGTGATTCATTTAGTCGACAACTAACTGATTAATCAACGAATCATTGCAGGTATTGCAGTATATGCAGTAGGCTATATCCAGTGGGCCTGTGCGATGTGGTAAAATAAAAAGAATCATATTTTGACAGTTATTACAACAGCCACATGATTCATGATTAGTAGGAATGCTCATTTTTGCATCACAATTTTCATTTTCACTCAAAAAAAACTATTAAAAACGGGATGATGTGGCATTAGTTAGAGTCTGTACCAAACAAACATGTTGGCTTACATCTGGATTTGTGGGCCAGTACTTTATTATAATGCTATTTTGTCATACATTTTACCTTTAATAAAAATTTCAGCTTCTGCCATTTGGATATTGATAATGTTCTCATTCATTGTTCAGCCCTAACACCCACCCATACTGATAACCAGTGGCTGCCTGCAGGCCATTACAAATGTAAAACACTATGTTGGTGTTTAACTAGTAAAGTATCCAGTGTGTATTTCATGTAAAGAATGATGGATAGCTCGCTTCATTCAAAACAAATCTTCAAATATTGACCTTTAGCAGTCTACTGCTTGGAGTTCTGGTTTGTTTGTGGTGAAACAAAGTAAGTGGGTGGCGATACACTGGCACACAAACTGAGACTGCCTGTTCTCAAGATAGAGCAGCTGACAAGTCAAAGTGAGCTGGGTCAGCCAGTTTCACAGAGAGTGAAACTACAGCCCGTGCAGTCATATATGGACTACAATATTGTTCCAGTAGGCTCCACTAAGTTAACATGATGCCTTACTATTTAACGTTACATTCCATCCTATCTGAAGTTACAGTGGGAATTTCACACAATATGGGAAAAACTAACGCCAAACAAATATTAATTATTCATATTTGAAAGTAGATAGGCCTTTACAAATACTAATTTAAGGCAAAAACACAATGTAGCCTTGCTTAGCGATCAACAAACGCAGCAACAAACACGGGAAAATGTGCATTTTAAAATGGCGCAATTAAACTTGTGATATTTCCTCACGAATGCTATTACTATAACCAAAGATTAACAATTCAAAAGCTTTACCGTGTAAACTCTTCGCACAGTAATGAGCTAATTTGTCTCTTATTACATTCCACCCTCAAAACCCGGTAATAATGTTTGAATTGACCCACCTAGTGTGATGAACCGTCTGGTCCGGATGAACACAGCAGTGACGCTGCTGAGGTGATGAACGCAAACAACACACACACAGGAGCGCGCGGCCACATCCCCGGTGCTTTACGTCGCGCGCTCCTCAGGTAGTAGAAAGGGACGCGCCCACAGATGTGTGCTCATCACGTGGGCTCCTCCCCAGGTTGTACAGGACTAACCTGTCCTCAACCCGCCGCTTCCAGGACAAGGCGGTCTGGAGTCCCTGGAATTCACGCCCTGGAGTCCCTGGAAAACCATGAGTGGTGTGGAGTATCTGCCAGCTCTGGGTTCAGCTGTGAACTGGGATGAAACAGAACTAACTGTGTAAACCGGTATTTTTGTGTAATTACAGATAAAGCTAGCTAAAGTTTCCATACATTTCATATTTTTCAGTATCATCAACTTTGTTTTAAAATCAATTAAAAAAAAACATCTGTACAGATTTGTTAGGATAAACTTACAAATTTGAACTAAACTAAATCAAAATGTGAATTATTTCACAAAATAAAGAGAATCAAGTGGGTGAGTTCTATGAGGTATTACTTGCTCATTTTAATATATACATAGCTACAGCTTTTGTTATGTACTGATCTAAAGTAACCCGAGGCTGACATGCTGGTCCAGCCTTCCTGCTGAGTAAAATGCCTCCAGTGTTGCAAAACCTGACACCAGGAAAACAAAACAAAAGAAAATAATGCACCTTGGCTTAGAAAAACCAGTCCTCCCAGCTGTATAGCCTACTGGCTGAGCCACAACAGCAGCCATTTTACCAGCTGTTCATCTACATGGACTGCAGTTTAGTTCTTCCGGATAATGGCAGATTCAGTGTCCATGAATTTGTCAGTTTTGACACTCAGATGTTGAGTATTTCCCTACAGGATGTACCAATGATCAGAGAGGAGTCACACCTCTTCAGTAGTAAAACGTGGATGTTTAGTGAGGGATTCATTTGCCTACAGTAACAGCCAGGCCCGCCCCTGAAAAGGTCCAGTGAATCCCTCCTACATAAACAGACACATGTAAACTGAGAGAGACTTAACCTACTTACTGATGGGAGCTACATAGGCATAGGCGCACTACCTAGCTACCTCTTGGCCTCTTCAGCCTGGCTGGGAGCAGGTTTCTGAACTGACTGAAAACAGTTGGTCATTACGTTATTATTTGGGTCTAAAGTCCTTGCAAGCTCCCTCTTTTTGTTTTCTTTTCTTTTCTAGCATCCCGATTTATGTGCAGGCCCTGGAATAGCAAGCAGTAGTTTAGATGAGCAAATTTCTCATGTGGCCGACCATCCGCGTTGCAATTTTGACATTTTAGTGATGTGTAAATTTTCAGGAGAGGGGCGCCTGAGCCCCAGGAGGATAACCCCTTTTCCCACCCTTATGGGCAGCCCTATACTAATCCTAATAAAGTATATGTACAGTATATAGACATTCTGTTCATTCTACTCTGTGGTTCTAATTATTATGATTATTTTAACAATTAACCCTCAACATTTTAAGTAAATTAGGATCATAATGTTTTAATTAAACATAAATCCAAGCATTAATTTTTCCAGAAAAAAAGATTGCTGCTGTGATCATTTCCTTGATAAACCAGATAATAGGTACCATAGATTATACCTTATTCATCAGACTATATATACTATCAGAAAAAAAACTTATGTTTCACATTTTATGTAGTTGCATAAAAAGATAGACAAGGATAAACTTACAAAAAGTTACAAAAAAATAACAAAAATGTATAAAAAATATAAATTATAAACATAAACTTGTTATTTTTTGACCATTTTTATAGTAGTCTTAACAGTGAGTGATTGGTGTAACAGAAGTCAGTGCATTAGCTTCATGGCTAAAGTCAAAAAAGGCAAAATACAAGTATGTAAAAAAGGTGCTTCATTGGTGTAAAGCAGTAGTACATATATGATACAAAACATACACATATCAAACATATCAATGTACATATAAAGAGTTACTAAAAGGAGTGAATAAAACTCATTTAAAGACACATCTGTTGTGATTTCAGGTAAGTGTGAGGCAATTCTTAAATACCACTGTGGACAGCTTTTAGTAATTGTTCATATTTCAAGAGACGATTACACGGCAGAAGAAACTGCCACTGTATGACACATAAAGAAGTATCTGACAGTATACGTAGTTAAACTAACCTATAACAAACCTCTCCTCTATCTGCTATGGTGCTATTCACACACATTTTCGGAAATGTGCTTGATTGTCATCTTACCCACACTCAGATGAAAAGATCATTTCATTTCTTGTATAATTCATTTTATAAGGAGAGCAAACACAAATATCAAATGTGGCTGATAAAAATGTCCATATGGTCTCTTCTGATGCAGCTGGTCTTGCAGTTACCTCTTCCTCCAGTCTTTGTTAAACAAACATCTGACAGGACACAGTGATGAAACTTATAATCATCTTTTTTATCTCAAATGGCAAAAAAAGTAAAAAAAACAAAAACAAAAAGGCCATTTATTGATCCATTCCAGCTGTCTGTATTCTGTCCATGCATTCAGATCCCATTTTGGGTGTAGCTTACTTTTCCCTTGACCTTTCCACTCTCTAGAATTACATTTCCACTGATGATGTTTCTACCTGTGACAATGATCTTTGACATTACTGACAGCATCAACATATTCTAATGTGATAATGGCATATCTACATTCAGCTATTAGGGTATTATCAACAATGAGGACATTCTCTTGTTCCACAACACTGTTGCAGACTTCGTGTCAGTCTTTGACATTGTACTCCTGAATCTTCTGTTTGATGTGAGAGAGCTTGTTCTTCAGGTACTCACACCTCTCCCTTTTTTCCAAATACGTTGGGTCCTGAAGACAAGAACAACAGAAATAATTTCAATGTTTTGCTTTCTTTCCTAGTGTTATTATCAGGGTCATTGTTGTGGTAGCAACACATAGAGAATTGTACTCTTCAGTAAACCAGACAAACATTAATAAACCAGGTAGAGAGAACATTTTGGGTAACTGGGGGCAAATCAAAATCCCACATCAAAACATACGACTTATTAAAAGGGACATTCCACTGATTTAGTATTCCATAAGATTGGGGGGATTGAAGGACAGATAAGTTAAAAGCCTGTAGTCTTTAAAGCCAAGCTGAAATACCCCTGATGACATCGCCAGGCTTATTTCTCAGACTTATTGATTTGTCCTCCTTTAAACAAGCTCTACTGTTTTGACTTCTGCCTCTAATTTATTTGTCATAGCAAGTATTAAATAAACCTAGAAAGGTAAAAAGTTTATGAGTTTTTATTTTACAATCTGATTTAATTGCAGTTAAAATTCCACAACATGCTAATGTTCAGAAGGGCATTAGCTCATCAGTAGATGCTCACAGTATCTGAGCTGTGTTACATTCTACCAGGAATAAACAACCAAATACCTCGTAATGGTTTCGGTAGGTTGATGACAACACGGTCACATTGACATGACTCACTGGTTAGGATAACAGTGTGGAGAATTCCTTTCTTAATTCAAAGTACCAAACTGGTTTTGGTTGCTGCAACTGGGACAGAGTGACCTCATTAGCCTCTACTTTCACTCTAAGAGCGTTTGTTAGGATGTCAACGTTACTACATCATCCAAAAATCTTACCTAACATTGTGACTTGCTAAAAAAAAAATCTGTTTACTATGTATACTATTTCTCTCTTTGCTGTCCCAACTTCCCAAATTATGTGATAAAGTTAAAATTTTCTGTTCTTCCTTTTGCTGAGGTTAGGGCCCAGTCAAGGACTGAGTTATTCCCTGGACCCCAGTTTTAAAACCACTGAACTAGACTGCTTTTCTGTGTTTGATTGTTTTTTACTTTGGCATTCAAACTCATCATACCATATATGTTTAAGTTTAGCAGCTCACTCAATATACATAATAACAATATTTTACCTAAATCTGCCTAAAGTAATTGAATAATAATTCAAAAAAAGATTATTTCAACCTAGCTCAAATAATGAATAAAGTAAAATGAAGAAAAATAAAAGTTGGTCTGATAAAAAAAACAACGGTACCAAAAGTACCAAAGCAAGCTCTTGGTAGGTGAAATGCAGTGGGGCAATATCTTTTGTTGCACAGGGGCATCAAGGGTTAATGGGTTAAACAGAATTATCATGAGGCACACAACCAGGCCCTCAGTGAGTGACATTGGATGGATCATAAATCACATTTTAGGATCTCTACTTACAGCTTTCTTCCTCTGATACTCCATTAAAATGCCATTGATCCTCTCCTTCTCCTGAAACACAATTAGCATCACAACATTAGCATGTTACTGGACAGTTATTGAGTGTGCATCCATCTGTATCCCTCTGTGTGAGTGTGTGTGGAGTGAGGGTTGTACCATTTGGCTGGAAGGCCGGGAGGGAAGGGTCTGCATCATCTCGTCCATCTCTTCAAACTTTTTGGCCATGACCTGAACCTCAGCGTGTAGCTCCTTGTACTCAGCGTACTGGTCATTGAACACAGCCTTGTACTGGTCCCTCTCCTCGTCCGAGTGGATGCTGGGATACTTCCTGTGAAAACAGGACAGCAGACGACACATTTTTTTGGGCCGCTGGCTACATTCACATTATAGCTGAATGTGTCTCAGTCTCTTAGCAGTAGGTCCTGAGGATGACAATATTAATCTGTCCGTCCAGCACAACTACTAGCCAGATTCAAATTTGCTGTGGATATTCATGTTTCTCTGAGGTTTATGGGATAGGATCACAAGTCTGTCTTAAAACTATAGTCAGGTGCCTGTCCAAACACTGAAACTGTTGTTGTTTGCTGTAATCATTCCTCCTGTTCATACTGGACATTAAAAGATCCCTTCATAATGTGCTGCCAATGTAAGTAATGGGTGTCAACATCCTGTACAAACTATATTCTGTGTAAAAATACATTCCAAACTTTATCTGAAGTTACTATGAGGCCTCAGTTAGACTAACCAAATGGATATATATTTTTTTTTAAAGTTACAATCTTTTTAGTACAACATTCCTGCTTTGTGTTTCCTCAGAGCTGCAGCGGAGGACTAATAATAAACACATGGACTTGGTATTAGAGCTGCAACTAACAATGATTTTTTGTTTGCGATTAATCTGTATATTGTTGTCTAGTCCACAAATTGACGTAACGTCCTCAAATGTCCTGTTTTGTCCACAACCCAAAGATATTCATTTTACTGTCATAGAGGAGTAAAGAAAGCACAAAATTCCTCATATTAGAGAATCTGAAATCAGAAAATTTTGAAATTTTTTCTAAAAAAAATTACTCAAAATGATTAATGAAGTATCAAAATAGTTGGCAATTATTTTTTTTTAAATTAATTTTCTAAACAGAATTAATCATCCGATCATTGTAGCTCTACTTAGTACTTAAAAGGCTCTAATTTTTATATAATATCTGCTTGATTAGATTTACTCAGAGATAGATAGATAGATAGATAGATAGATAGATAGATAGATAGATAGATAGATAGATAGAAAGATAGATAGATAGATAGATAGATAAGAGCCAAATATACAATATGTTAGTCCATCAAGCAATACTTTCTGACTTCCCGTCTGTCGCACTCAACTGCTGGTTCCTATTATAGACGTTAATCTTTAATAACACATCATAAATATATAGTTTATATATAGTTTAATTTTTACTTCATTCAAAACAAGATGTTGGCCAGTGTATTCTGTATCTTTTCATTTATTTATTTATTTCTTTAATATACACATTGTGAGGATTTCTGGTCCTGAATCTCTGTCACTGTCAATTTGAGGTTAGATTTATTTGGTCTATCTAAAGCTCTGAATCATGTAGCGCAGTGTGATATAGGACCACTTTTTGGAATGATGACAACAGATTTCCTCACATCTCTCTCAAGATTGGCCACTTTCCTCTGGAGCCCTCTAATCAAGGACTAAATGAAGGCTTAAAAACAGATGATGAAGGTTTAAGTTCAAATGTATGCTGTGTGTCAATGGAGACCTGAGGATCTGCATCAGAAAAGTGTTGAACATGAACACTAAATAATTGTTTCCCAGACTGTTTTCAGATGTTCAAACAACAGACAGCGAGTCTGAAAACAGTAAGGTATTTCCCTAAAATTTGATACTCACGCCACATAGTCGGCTATAACAACAGGTTTGGGGATGTGTCCGGCTGGTATGTGACCTTGGAGGATCTCTGGCTCCAGCGCTATCAGAGAAGCGGCTGCAGAGTTTGGAGCATCCATGATGTCTGGTTGGATGGTGGGCAGAGGAGTCTGCTCTGAGGCCCTGGAGGATGGACCCAGCTACAGTGGAAAGTCATGTGTTCAGTTCACGTACAGTGCATGCAAATTCAGTGTCTGCTAGAACATTTCAAAAAGTTATCCTGGATACTTACAATAGACAGAGGGACCGATGATCCAATGGTTCTCATCTAGGGTGTATTGTTAAAGGAAGAAGAGACAGGCAATGATTCATTAGGTCTTCACAGTGTTCAAAGTGTTGAGAACAATTCAATGTTACAGTTTTTTAGAATGTTATACACTACGTAATACAAGTCCCTATACTTTAGTTTCAAATCTCTGCAATTTAATTACCATACTGAAGTTAACAGAAAGCAGTAGCTAACTGAAAGGTAGAAAAGACAAACATTGAGCATTTTTATGTCTATGGCGTGTATGTGGGTTGTTTACTGCCTTCTGCCAGGTGGGTGGCTTTTTGTAGTTATATATGACATATTACTTGTGGCTATATGCACTTTAATGTAAAGCACATTGAACTTTCTTTATAATAAATTGTACCATATTAATAAAACTGCTTTGCATTAGCTAATGGTTTGAAAATATAACAAATATTAGACAGGGTGTCAGTGGGATGTGTCTCTATCTCAAACTGTGATAATGTTGGTCCGTGCCAGTGTTTATGTGACACTTTATGATAAATTATGAAATAAATAATGTTACATTTGCTAGAAGATTAAATGAAATTAAATGAAATACTAGTGGAAATAGAATAAGAATATGATCCAGTGTGTCTCTGCACCATTATGCTTTTAGTTCTGATGGTTAGGGGACAGGCAATTCATGCTGTCTTCAAGTATAGAAAGACAAATATGTGTTTTTCAGACCTCCTGTGCCAGCCCCATCTTCCTCATCCTGGCTGCTTCGTGCCTCCACAGCTTCAGACACACTACCGCACTGATGAAGTAGAGCACCATGGTGATGAAGAGGAAGATGATGGCTGCTGTCTGGCCGGCCTCGGTGCGACAGAACGCTCCATTTACTCCATTATTGAAGACCGGCATGTTGCACAGCCCCCCTCGAGTGGTGTCCCTGACATACATTATCCCTGCTGCCAAATAGAGCACCGCCAAGACCAGGTTGATGGAACACTCAGTGAGCGGCCACCAAGAGGAGTCTAGAAGGATGGCTCTGTAGTATAAGGTCATCCCAATGACGACCAGAATAACAGTCACGATCCACGCAAGCCCAGCCACCACCAGGACGAAAGGCGTCTTGGGGCCCGTGTAGTAACCGGCCCCAGATCCATATGCACCAGCACCTCCACCGAGTCCCCCATACAGCTGCGGCTGGGAGTACCCATACATATTGAACCACTCGTTGTCCTTATGAACATAAGCGCAGACACAGGCGAACACAGCAGCTCCCAGCAGCAGTTGCACGCAGCCCAGGAGCCTCAGCAGGCCAGCCCAGGACTTCATGTAGGCATAGCGCTCGTGGTACTCCTCCACCCGCTCCTGGTAGGTCTGGACTGACAAATTGGTGGGCACTGCGGATGCAGAGTCGAGGGCTTCAGCACCCAACAGCAGTCCGTCTCGCTCCTTCTCCGTGGTGTAGCTACCCCCGGAGCCGCCATAGGGGTCCCGATAGGACCCAGGAAGGGACGGAGATGGAGGAGCGGAGTGGGGAGGCGAGCAGGGGACTCCCGACGTAGTGCGGCAGTTACCACTCTTCCTGGACGAGGGGGCGGGGGAGTGAGGGGCAGGTGGAGGAGGGGGGATGGACCAACCCTTGCTGCCACGGTTACCACTGTTGCCACGGAAGAAGTTCTTGACAGAGTCAGGGATGAAGCGGCGCACCGGCTTAATGTCCATGGCGTCACAGTTGTCCTCCATTGGCTCATCGTCGCTGGGGGGGTAGAAGGATACAGACCCAACAGCTGGCTGATCAGGTAGAGGGGGAGGGGGAAGGGGGTCTAAGCTGGTGGTCGGCAATGTTCCATACATGGATGGTGGGGGCAGAGGGAAATCTGTGTCCCGCCATAAGGAGCCCACAGGGACCTGGTCATAGTGTGGGATCTCCCGCACCCGGTCGAACCTGGTGGCAGAACCAACTCCTCCTGAAGACATCGGGACCTGGACTCTGTGTTTGCTACAGAGAGAAAGGCAGAGGATTAAATCAACCGTTCGACCTACAGCGGTTTCAAAGGAAAATGTTGATCTTAGTTCAACAAACACAAGCAGTCAGACGATCACATTATGATTTGTTCCCTGCAATAGTTTTGCTTTCTTTTTGTTTCCATTTCAGCCAATTTCCTTTTATTTGATCATTCCTTTCTAAATATTAAATTGCTCTTAATGTCACATGTTTTCTACTTGATATATTAAACATTTCACACAAATACAATGTAGGCTACTTCTTAAAAATCTAATCATATAGAGTTTTGAAAAAAGGACCTTTAAAGAATAAAGAATGAGGGAGATGTAGGGTATATGCTTGCGTCTGATTGGCTATTCCTGCATACATAATATACATGTAAACAGGATAACTCAAACCCTGGATAAACCCTGGATAAACACAACAAAACTATTCTGCATGAACATCCTCAATTTCTGCAATTCCAAATTTCACATAGAAATGCACTAATACTGAACCTTCAAAGATGAATATACTACCGCAATAGCCAAGACTTACTGCCAACTCTCAAAAAATGGAAGTGGTAAACTGGGTTCAACTAGAACCAACAACACCCTCTGTCACTCAGAAGGCGTACACAGCCTTGCCGGAGAGTTGAATCAGTGTTGGCATGGCTAATTTACGTCACTTGGAATGTAGAAGGACTGACTCTCAGCCACGGTGACACACATTCAGTTAGCACAAATTAAATACATATTCTACAGTAATCCATGTGAGTGTAGATGTCAAATCTGACTCTACAGCTGATCAGCTATTGCTTCAGAACAGTGAGGAGATAATGGAGGTGTAACAAACGGAGGCCTCACTGTGAACAGCTGTCAATGGAGCTGAGAAAGAAACAGACCCAGCAGCAGCGGCTCGGTCTGTGGATCATCCACAGTAACAGGGACACTGTTTCTGTGAGCCCCACACATTCCATACACCTCCATTGTACATAAAGAAAACGTGTTTGCATTCTCTAGGTAGCCTGGTTTCACACACTGCTTCTCACATGCTTCAATGATGTCACTGCCCCATCAGCTTTTACATGTATGTACAACACTGTACATATCTTTAAAGGCTGTTTCCTCAAAATGAGTTTTCCACTTCAGTAGCACTTATTTCATTTATTAGTTAAACTGCTGTCCTGTTTACCTGCAGTATCTTTAAAAGCCCCTTTCTCTCAGTCTGAGTAGCACTGACACACACCAAACCTTCCAGTTTTATTCCTATCTATGTCCCGAAGCTTTTTTTATTCCTAAAAACTTGTATTAAAACAGTGGAGTGATAATAAGACGTGTAATGTTGCTTTTTACTAGATACCCTATTCACCTGTAGTGTCAGGCCTTAATGTTGGCTTACTGTTAAACAGCGAACAAACTTTTTACTGAAGTAGTAGCCTGATACAGAGCAGGTGTCTGTGTGCAGCCGCTTGCGTTGTAAACCGGTAAAATCGGATAAAATAAATAAAAACAAAGCGCCGCAGTTTATATTGAAGAACACAACAAAGCCAACTTATGTCGTTCGTCATGTTCAAACCTATGTTCCTGTCATTAAAAGCGAAATGACACAAAGAATTCGACATTGGGACGCTGACTTACCTGCCGATAACTGTGCGTCTATTGCCTCAAACAGGTAGCAGCGACATCCTGCCCCCCCCGCCCTTTGTTCTCCCTCACTCTCACACTGATCCCAGGTCAGACATCGCTGTGAACTCCGGTTTAGCTGAGGGGAATTAGCGAGATGGAAAACTGATCCCAGATCCCGGTCGCGGTGAAACTCACCTGGCCAGTTTGACCAGCCTCACGATGCGTTCAAGGCCTCCCTCCGACTTCCCAGTTTCCAATTCTTAAAAACAACATCCGTTCACTAATTGATATCATTATTTTATATTATTTAATACTGTGATTTATCTCATTCTCTCCTCCTCCTCCTCCTCCTCCTCCTCCACCTTCTTGTTTTTCTTAGGCTATATTTTCTTCCAGTTATTTTATTTATTTATTTATTTATTTATTTATTTATTTATTTATTTATTTATTTATTCCCTTTTAGGTTCCATTCTCAAATGCTCAGCATGTGTTGATTTGTTTTAATGGATTTGTATATTGAATGGCGGTCAATGAAGCATCAGTAATTCAAACATAATGCTGGAGCAATCATACATTCCCTCTGTGCTCAACATATTGAAACATGTTACCAATAGCGCCACCATGTGGTCACTTGTGTAGCTACATGTTTCACATTGTAACCTCTCCCACGCTAGGAACTTTATTTTTTTTATTTTACATTCAGCTTTTTATATACTACATATTAAATAATAACGAATAAGTAATTTTCATTTTATATATATTTTTCAATTTTTAAGAATATTTATGAAAGCAGCATCAATAGCCTATCTTAAATGCGAAAAAACAAACAAACATTTCCCACTAATTATTCACAGTTACTAGAGTCACTGTAGGAGAACCTAATGTACAGTTACTCAGCAAAACTCAGCATACAATTTAAAGTCCCATGCAGGGATGCAAAATGTACTTTAGTAGTAGTAGTAGTAGTAGGATTACATTTCTTTATAAGCCTATAAGCACAGAGACTATAATCACATTGTACTCTGGCTTTGTACTGTAGCCTAGCCATTACCACAGTATTAACTATGGCTAGCTCAATGGCGACAATGCCATAAAACAGGAGCAGCTGCATGGACGGCTGCTGACACTTTTTATGCTCTTTTTATCGTAAATTTGCAAATGACATACAACAGAAACAGTAGGCCTTTAAAATAGATAGATAGATAGATAGATAGATAGATAGATAGATAGATAGATAGATAGATAGATAGATAGATAGATAGATAATTTTATTAATCCCACAATGGGGAAATTCACTTGTCACAGCAACATTTGAGTGAAATAAATACAGATTTGCATACAGCAGGTCAAAGGTCTTATTGTCTCTGGTGGTGCATGCGACAAACGTGGTTGAAGTCCCCTGTGATGATGATGAAGTCCCCTGTGATGATGATGAAGGCCTCTGGGTGTTTCGTTTGTAGTCCTGCAGTCACAGTGTGGATGACGTCACACGCTGCTTCTGCTTTCCCAGACGGAGGAATATAGACAGTGATGGCAATAACACTGGGAAATACTTTTTAAGCATTAAGCAGTAAAAAAAACTATGACAACCAAGTCAAGTCTTTTATTGTTTTTCAGAGAAACTTTATTTAAGAGAAGACGACTATTTTGTGCACCACGGAAAGCTGTGAAGAAACACTTGAATGTAAAGATTGAATACACCTGTTACATGTAAAAAATGTAATGTAAAAATTATTGAAATGAATAAAGGTAATAATCTAAAACCTGTAAACTTTTCAAGGAAATTTCTTTCAGTTTAAATAGACAGCTGGACATTTTTTCACCTGAATATCACTAAAAGCACTCTGACGGACCCGGGCTATTAAAAGTAATAATATTTGAAAAAAGTGGAAAACACTGAGAGCAAAATCCACACACCCTCCTACATGAAATCAATTTCACTTTGATCCATCTCAGTTGCATTGGGTGGTATACCGACAACAGATCAGCTGGTATGGAAGCCCATTTCTGCCACTTCAAATGGTTTTCATTATTAATATGAAGTGTTTTTTTCCCTCATAATTATGAGGCAGACACTTCTAGGTTTTGAGAAACTTTCTCACACATTCTCAATGAGTTTAATTTTATTTTCTGTTGTACTGTTTACCATAAATACTTAGATGGAACATAAACTGTTTTAAAAATAACAATAGTTCATAAGCAGCACAAAGACTAAGTTGGCTCTTCACATACAGTGGGAAACATTTAATTTAGATTAGATTAGATAAATTAGATGGATGACATAAATACTTTATTCATCCCCACCATCTCTTTGGTCTTGGTGGTGTTGAGGCGCAGTTGGTTGGAGTCACACCATGTGACAAAGTCCTGGATGAGTTTCCTGTACTCCTCCTCCTGGTCACTCCTGATACAGCCCACGATAGCCGTGTCGTCTGCGAACCTTTGTACGTGACAGGACTCTGAGTTGTATTTGAAGTCCGACGTGCACAGGATGAACAGTACCGGAGAGTGCTCAGTCCCTTGCGGCGCTCCCGTGCTACTGACCACAGTGTCAGACCTGTAGTCCCTCAGTCGCCGTTTTTTTGTAATAAAAATGTAGTTTTACCCTTTCTTCTGCCATTTGATGTATAATTTATGTATTTTCCAAAAAAACATGTTGCCTGAAATGATGTATATATTGTGTTTGTTTTGTTTACATGTTGTTATTATTAGAAGATGTCTCATTACAGTTTTGATGTTTGATATACATACATGCCATGTGAGATGGGCAAAAGTTTGGAAATACATTAGCTGGCTAACCCTCGCCCCTTTGGAAATTGTGCAGAGCAGTGTGAAGGTACATGGGGCGAAAGAATAACAATAGCATAACTTTGAAGCACTAATGGTGGCCCAAAGGTTTGAGAGTTGTGCTTATGACCAGGAGGTTTGTAGTTTGATTTCTGGACTGGCAGGATAAGTTTGGGTAGTCAAAATAAATTATTGTGTTGATTTAAAACAGAACTGACAGAGGAATTAGAATGCTGATGTTCTGTTCTCTGACATCATAATGGACTCACTTGCATAACTGCAGCTGAACAGAATTCTGGCCTCATTCCTAAATCAACCTTTGGAGAGGTAAGACCACTTTACATCTGTGATAAAAAACACTTTTTACTTTAGTTTTTATGCTTAGTAGAACTGTATTGTGCTGGAGAAGAAGCACATTAATTTCCCTGCATTGTGCTGTCAGTTAAATTACTTTTTTCATTAGCTTCATTACAAATACCATTACAGTCAAATGTGCATCTTTTGCTGTAATGAGATGCAAATACATATTTTGTCTTGCATAACACAATTGTAATCTGTAATCTTTATTTTACTTGTTTGCATGTGTGCAAAATGGACCGGAATTGTAGTTTTTCTTAGCAGTATATAAAATAATTCACATTGACTAAAAGGTTTGCAGTCTTGATATCATGCCCAGACCTATAAAAAAAGTCTCTTTGAGCACTACCCTAAACCGTAGTGGAAACAGAAAATGTCAGATTTCCTCCCTTAATCTGCTACACCTACTAGATTAATGAGATCCACCTCATATGTGGTCATCTTAGTCTTAAAACTTTGATGATGCTAAATAGTGAAACTTGTGATTTTTCATCAAATGCTGTTGCCATAACGACGCAATATTCACCATCAACAGGAAATTGTTGTACATGGGCAAATCTGCCCAAAACTTCACCTTGATGAGATTCCCGGCCTGAGCAGGGGCGTGTGTAGACTTTTTTGACTGTGGTTTTTGACCTCAGCCCTCCCACGATCTGGAAGGAGCACAGACGAAAGGGTGAGAGACTTTTGTCTAGTGAGGACATCAACCCTTTCATGATCTTGGAGGAGCACGAGCAAAGGGGTGAGAGACCTTTGACACGAGGCATTTTTTCATTTTGTTTTAAATAAGCAAATGTATCCATGTTAGTTACATGATTCACATAAACTTTTAAAAACTAAAATAATAATAAAATGTATGGAAAAACTTAATTTCTTGCCAAAAAACTAAATTTCTTGCCAAAAGTTAGACAGAATCAATACCACTCTCATATCTGTGCAATAAGCACAGGTTTACATTTTTCAGTGGTGGAATGTAACTGCATAAAGTTACTCAGTACCTATACTTAAGTGCAATTTTCAGGTATTTATATTTTGTGTTTTTTTATACTTCAACTCCATTTTAATTTGCAGGCAAATATTTTACATTTTCCTCCACTACATTAAGCTACCCAGCACTATATGAAGTAGTTAAAATTGCCACAAAATTAATGTTTACACACGGATGAAATAATACTCCGATTATGCCATAGGCCGATATATTATTCTGAAATGGGTCTTCCTGCATGATGAGTACTTCTTGTAGACTATTTTTTAGTATATTTTGATGCTTATACTTGTATGTACTCCTGAAGTTAAAATTGTACTGGTGTCCATATCGGACCATATAACTCATAAGAAAGGGTCAGGTATGGAAGACTGATTCATCAGTGACGGGTAAGATCCCCCTGTTAAACCTTGGGACAACCTAAGACAGGTACAGCCACAGTACTTGACCCCAACGCCCTGTGAGCAGGCACAGTGACACTGTCTCATGACCGGTGTTTTTGTACAATGTGCAGGAATACAGGACATAGTTTGACAGGAGATGTACAGATGGATAAAAACATAAAAAAACAACTGGCAAGTAGGGAAGACTGGTTCGCCTATGACGGGTAAGATCCCCTACAGAACCTGGGGACAACCTAAGGCAGGCACAGCCACAAGTACTTGGCCTATTTTTCCATGTTGGGCAACATGATGTATCATTTTTGCTGAAGAACATGAGACTTGATTCATCAAATAGTAGAAATTCTCCTTAAAACTGTACTGGTGTTGATGTGTTCCATATCGGACCATATAACACATAAGAAAGGGTCAAGTATGGAAGACTGATTCACCAATGACGGGTAAGATCCCTCTGTTAAACCTTGGGACAACCTAAGACAGGTACAGCCACGAGTACTTGACCCCAAAGCCACTGTGAGCAGGCACAGTGACACTGTCCCGTGACCGGTGTTTTGTACAATGTGCAGGATACCAGGACATGGTTTGACAGGAGATGTATAGATGGAGAAAAACATTAAAAAAA